CCCCTCTTCTGCAGCAAAGGCTGCCTGAGTCACTGCTCCTGCCCACAAAGACATGGTCACAGTCTCATCCTTTATACATTCCAAGTATTTTTAGGTACAACTGATAGAAATGTGCGAAGCAAATAAATTTTTTTTGTCATCAGCTTTTATACTTTTTAATTCTGCACTAGATTGAAGCATTGTTCCCTGTTTATCCTAGGCAACCACAAGCCCAACCATATGGGTAGGGTCCCAGGAGTGTCAGAGAAAGGAGAAAAAAGGGAAATAAAGTGTGCTCTCCATATTCTAATCACGGCACAGCCGTGAATGACAAAGGCTTTTTCTTTGTCTTATTATCTTTTAACAAAAATCCCCAAAGAGCTGAGCACCAACTCATTAACAAAGTTCTGCACTTGAATTCATAAACACTTTCAGGTAGCTCAGTTCAAAGCATTTCTCCTCTGGCTGTGAAGTCTCAGTGGCATTTGAACAGAAGGGATAAATCAGATTTTAGGCTTCACTTCAAAATTATGATTTAATTGAAGGCTTTTTTTGAGTGGGGGGTAAGGATATGGTGAAGAACTGGAACAGAGAGCTAGAACTGACTTCAGATAGGAGATGAAAAAACTTGTACAGAGACAGTGCTTGTGAAGAGAGGCTTGATGGGAAACTGCTTCACAGGGATTAACAAGGTACCACACCAGCTTTGAAAAGATATTTTATCCCTCAAGCAAATAATGCAGCAAAATATTTGAGACTTCTCAACAGATGGTTTTGCCTGTGTCCAAAAGGTGGTGGTGGAATGAGGAAGCATTGATTAACAATGGGTTAATTTGCTGCTCTGATGAGGCCACAGCTCAAGTGCTGTGTCCAGTTGTGGGTCCCTCACAACAGAAAGGACATTGAGGGGCTGGAGTGGGAGCAGGGCACTGGGGAAGGGTCTGCAGCACAAGGAGAAGGGTCTGGAGAATTCCTGAGGGAGCTGGGGGAGCTCAGCCTGGAGCAAAGGAGGCTCAGGGGGGACCCTGTGGCTCTGCACAGCTCCTGCCAGGAGGGGACAGCTGAGAGGGTCAGGCTCTGCTCTCAGGGAACAGGGACAGGACAAAATGGCCTCAAGCTGTGCCAGGGGAGGTCCAGGTTGGACATCAGGAGGAATTTCCTCATGGCAAGGGTTGTTAAACACTGGAAGGGAGTGGTAGAGTCCCCATTCCTGGGGAAAGCCTGGATGTGGCACTGGGGGCTCTGGGCTGGTGACAAGGTGGGGATGGGTCCCAGGTGGGACTCGATGGTCTCAGAGGTTTCCCAACCCCATGGATGCTGTGATTCTGTAATTCCAGGTGCAGCACACCCAGCAGCATCAGATCCCAGGGGAGAGGGTTCACTCAAATCTGTTTCCAATGAACAGAAGACAGAGTGGGTAATGACTGTGAGAAGGATGACAATAAAACAAGAAGCTGCTGGAAGCTGAAGGAAAGGCCAGCTGAGAGATGCAGCCCAGTAAACCCCAAAGAAAAGTCTGGAACAAACCAGGATACAGATGCAATTATCCACAAAGAGAATGACACTGACCTGACACTACTCAGCAAGTCAAGAGAAGGCAGAATTCTGCCAAACAAGAGTGAAGTCTGTGAGGGGGAAGATCCCAGCACATCTGATCTCCTCACTGTTGCTCTTGGCTGTTTCTATTGATAATTTGAGGAGACTGAAGAGCCTTGTGCTGAGACACCCATACATCAGCACACAATAGGAGTAAACATCCATTGTATGCAGCAAAAGGAAGATCAGAAATTCTGAAAACATTCTTCATGAACAAAAGCCAGCAGCTGAAAATGAGTCAGGGGGCAGAGACTGGCAAGAGCCATCACTGCACTGGTTTAACTGGTTTAATTTTAACTTTAGCAGCTGAGCTTGGCCAGGAGCAGCCACAGTCACTGAGCTGTCCCTCACCTGCCAGTGACTCAATCAACTCCTGCTGTGCTGCTTTGGAAAAGGGAATTAAAACATTTTCTGTTGCTCTCTCAGGCTCTAAATCCTGCTGAGCATTCCCAAAGTGTCCTTCCTACCTCAAACATCTCCTGCTCTGTCCGTCTGTGATCATCCAGGAGCTGCTCCATGTAGGTCAGATTCCTGAACTTCTCCAGGTAAGTGCTGTACTGCCTCTGCAGCTGCTCCTCAATCTTCTCATACTCATCCATGAAAGCAGGCCTGGGGAACAAGCACAGGGAACTGTGAAATCTGCCCCATCCCTGGGAGAGCTCAGGGCCAGGTTTTTTGGGGTTTGCAGCAACCTGGGACAGTTGGAGTTGTCCCATGGCAGGATTTGGGATGAGATGAGCTTTAAGGTCTCTTCCAACCCCAGCCATTCTGTGATTCTAGGGCTCTATAAATATTGCTCGGAAATACAGAATTCTGAAATGCTATTTTAGGTTTTCAGCTGCCCTTCCATATCCACTAAACCAAAAAAAACCTCATTTTTTTAAGGGTCAGAGAATAAAATCTCAAGAAAAGCCCCTCACTAAACAATCCTGGGAATTACATGAAGCAAAGAGAAGGGTTTTGTGTACAACTCCCTTTTCCTTTCACAAAGGCAGCATTTTGGCCCCCTCAGAAGGCAATGTTAGATTATTTATCCTGCTGTTCCATAACATCACTAAGTGTGTAGATTTTGCTGGGGATTTCCTTGCTACAGAAAGTGTCCTGGGTCACTACAGGGTTAATTAGACAGCATGATGAAGTGAGGGTGTCATTACACTTGAGAGCTGAGTGATGCACCCCAAAATCCACTGCTGCTGCTCAGAGCTTCACACCCACCCAATCCACATCTGCAGAGTGGTGCTGATAAAACAGGGATGTGAATCCAGGCCATTCCTTCCACTACTCCCCTGTCCAATAGTTCCGATTTGTTTTTTTAATATTAGGGCAGATTGGAGATTGTATAAACCTGCAAGTTAATTAAGGACCAGATATCAACCCAAACTGTGAAACCTGAACACTCCAATGGGGATTGCAAGGAGGGAGAGGGACTCAGCATGAGGGGACTGCAGTTATAGGACAAAGGGGAATGGGCTCAGACTGAAGGAGGAGAGGTTTAGGGTGGATATTGGGAACTGGGAATTGTTCCCTGGGAGGGTGGGCAGGCCCTGGCACAGGGTGCCCACCCTGGATCCCTGGCAGTGCCCATGGCCAGGCTGGGCAGGGCTGGGAGCAGCCTGGGACAGTGGGAGGTGTCCCTGCCATGGCAGGGCTGGCACTGGATGGGCTTTCATGTCGCAGACATTTTTTCATAGAAATCCTTTCTTTCACATTTGTCCATCTTCTGGGAAGCAGAGTCCCAGAAGAGAATGTAAACAATTGTTATCAGCTGCTGTGAAATGTAGCAGGTGTCCCTGTGATTGGCTCATCTTCCATGTGTACCATTAAAGGCCAATCACAGGAGCAGCTCAGGGACAGATTCCCTGCACACAGAACTTTGTTATTCATTCCTTCTATTCTATTCTTAGCTGAGCAGCTCTCTGCAACTTCTCTTCTTATTCTTTTTAGTATAGTTATAATGTATTATATATCTTATATGAATAAATCCAGCCTTCTGATCAAGAAACAAGATTCTTGTCCTTCTCTCACCACAGTGACCGTCTAAGGTCGCTGCAATACCTTAAGGTTCTTTCCAACCCAAACCATTCCATGATTCTGTGATTCCATCAATCTTCTGGCAGACTGCACCAGTTCCCAGAGGATCTGATCCTAACAAGGGCTGCAGAAGGAATTTCCCTAACTGGTGGTGAAGCCCAGAAGGCACAGAGGGGCTGTTTGCACCAGTTCCACCCTTTCTGCTCCCTGTACTCCTCCCTGCACTAGATAACAGTTCATGATCTCACCGAACACTCTGCAGGGTCTGCAGCCTCTTCTGGCTCCTTTCCAGCTCCAATTTTCGTTTTTCAATCTTGGCTTCCAAATTGGCTTCATCCAAAGCCACGTTATTCAACATGTCTTTGGTCTTTTGGACTTCTTCCTGAAAGAGAAGGATGGTGAACCATGGCTGGCACTGGGATAATTACATTTATCTTTATTGTTCTGGATAATCTCATCTGTCTTTACTCAAGTAAGCAGTGGAAATTCCAAAGTTCTTTGTGGCCAGATAGTGAATTAACTGGACATTTGCAAATGTAAAATATCTGATTTTCTTTTTGCCAACATTCTTAAAGAAGGAGAAACCCCACAGCTGTAACTTTAGTTTTCCTTCTCACTGAGGAAGCAGCAGAAGGCAGGAAGAAGCTTCTCTTTTGGCATCATTAAGGTCTTTTTGGATTTTATCTTAATGGAATCATTCAGGTTGTTTCCCACCTTAATGATTCCATGATTCTCTCTGAATAAACAGATGAGAAATGCATTTGTTACTTGGTACTATTTTAGGGAATTTTAAGCTTTCATAGTTTTTTTTTTTCTCTTCAAGATACAAGTAAGTTTTATAAACAACTTCCTATATCTGAATATCTTCATCCTTTCCTAAGTTTTGTTTTATCCTTTTTTTTTTCAAAATCTGGGAAGCATCTTGAACATTTCAACATGTGCTACAAGGACTAGGAGGGGAAATGGGAATATTCCAATTGATTCAAATGAGCTGAGTACATCCAGTGTGCTCAAGCTCAAGAAAAAGAAACCATGAGCATCTTTGGAGGGAGAGGGAGGATTCCACTGCTGGAATTCCAGCTGGGAGTGTTGGTGCAGCTCAGCTCCAACAGGCCATTCCATGAACTGGGCCAGGATTAATGAGCTGAGTGTGTGCCAGTGCTGTTTGCCAGGAATCCTCTCTCATGGAGAAGAGGAGTAAGAAATGTACATTAACAAAATTTAGTAATTCCCACAGGTTGTGAGCAGGAGCAAAACATAAGGGAAGATTGCCTGGAATATCTCTGGGTTATCCATTGGTTGTTTAAACCTGGAACTCCACTCTTGTAGTCAAACACTTGGACTGGATACAGTTTGCAGTGAAATAATTGAGAGGGAGTTCATTAACTGGGAGTTAATTGGCTCCCCCCTCACAGAAATGCAGCAAGGCAGGCACTGGAGCAAGGACAGAGCTGGAAAGTTCAGGACAGACACAAAACCCTTCCCAGCAAGCAGCTGAGGGTGCCCTGGCAGGATCTCAGTGGCACAGAGCCAGCTCTCACCCACCCCTGGCCAGCTCTGAGGTCCCTCCCTGCAGAGGCCACAGGGCTCACACAAGGTACAGGGTGTAATTTCTCTGCTGATTTGGGCAATTTTTATCCCTCCTGTAGGAAAATAAAAACCCCTGCTTTGGAGTGAAGCCCCTAACAGAGGCAGGGAATGTGACTACAATGTGTTTTCCCTCACAAGAGGGGATAAAAGCAGCTCTTAGATGCACCAACTGCAGCTGCAGGTGATGGCTTTGGCACTCTTTACCCCAGGCTGTTGATAAAAAGAGCTAATTTCTTCTTGCAGCAGAAAAATGATAATTTTGCAATCAAATAAATGATATTTTGCTTACCAGAATGCTGTTAATGGCAATTTTCATCACCTTCTCAGCTTCATTTATCTCCAAAGGTCTGCCAAGAGATTCTGTCCTTGCTTCCTATGAAATAAAAAGAACCAATATATTTAAACACTACACAAAGGAACTAATTTATGCAGAACTGAGGGTGATCAAGCAACAATGATAGGATCATCTGCATAATAAATGGGGTAGGATTTAGTGTTTATTCACCGAGGCTGACATGATTTAGGGACCAGGAGATGATGAAAAAGTGAGTTGAGATGAGCAGGAGGGAGCAATCAAGGCATCTTTCCCAAATGAGGTGAGTGCTGTGTCTGACTGCAGCTATTCTTGAAGGCAGATTTTTGGCAACTGCTCTGATTTTCCATGTGGAGCACAGAAGATTCCATCACCTGTCCAACCCATGAAAACACCAGTGCAGGTGGAGGAGCACAGTGTCCCAAGAGTGTGGAGCTACAAGGACTACAAAGCCACCAAACTGTGCCAGGCAGGTGGATGTC